CACCATCCAAAAGCATTCAAGTCATAATCATAAAGCATATGGCTGCATAAATCATGCATTAAGATTTCCTCGATCCAAAATAAATCTACTTATCATCTCATCCATCTGACGAAATCCGACAGCATGGGTCGAGCATACCTCAAAAAGCCCAACTACGCATTCACATTTCAAAGTCCAGCATCCATTTACATATATCCAAGTCATTCATCACATTTCATGCATCAATCAATCATTACTTACATTAATCAATCATCATATTTCATGCGTCAATCAATCATTACATACATCAATCAATCATCACATTTCACGCATCAATCAATCATTACATGCATCAATAAATCATTACACTTCATGCACCAATCAAATTTGCACGCATAGCATGAAACCTCGTTTTATGTGAAGGCAATCATCATTGGCAATCAAGCTACCAATTCTACATAGAATCTCGGCAGTAGATTCTCCTGGTTGATCACGACAGGTGATTTTCCATAAAACCTTGACAAGAGGTAATCTTTCAACAAAATCTCAACAATAGACTCCCCTGGTTGATCACGGTAGGTGATTTTCCAGAAAACCTCAGTAGGAGGTAATCTTTCAACAAAATCTCAGGAGTAGATTCCCCTGGTTGATCACGGCAGGTGATTTCCCAGAAGACCTCGCCAGGAGGTAACCTCTCGACAGAATCTCGACAGTAGATTCTCCTGGTTGATCACGACAGTTGATTATCCAGAAGACCTCAGGAGAAAGTAGTTCACAATTGAATTCTGGAAGTAGATTCTCCTTGTTAATCACGACAGTTGATTATCTAGAAGACCTCAGCAGAAGGTAGTTCTCAACAGAATCTCGGCAGTAGATTCCTTGGAAATCTCGGCAACAGGTTTCCCGTTAAAGAGACTCACATCAAGCAAGAAGGATGCATAACCATATCAAAATCTCAAGGTCATTCACCACTTTTGGTGCATCTAACATACGGAAACACCAAAGAGTATTTGATAAAGCATCAAAGTCTATTATGGTTAGAAAAACAGCAATGGAAAATACACGCCTATTTCTAAGTCCACGCCTAAGTCCATGACCACGCCTATTTCCACGTCCACACCTATCTTTGTGCTCACGCCTACATTTGCAACTATGTCAATATTCGTGCCAACATCCACGTACTACGTCCATGCCTATGCCCGTGCCTACAGTACAGACCTCAAAGATCTTTCTGACACCTTTCACCAAATTCAAATCAACTTGTAGATGCAACAATTGGCAACAAACAATGTTGAGGAGTTGGTGATTACAAGAACCCAACAAAAGATATCTATCAAAAGTATACACATACATTTGGGGCATATACATACACTTGGGGCATGCACCTAAAAACATTTGGGGCATACATCACACTTAGATAACACATCTGTTTAGCGTATTATGCATACAAGGCATCTTACAAAGCTACTCTGGTTAAGATTATAAATTTTCTTGGGGTTCATCGTTAGCAAGCTTATATGTGTGAACTATTAGTTCAAACTTTAAAGCAATTTTGGGGTATTTTCTTCACGTTGATGGTTATGGTTGAGACGAAATGACCAACATCATCGTGAATTTTGGGTTTATTTTCTTCATGTTGATATTTATGGTTGAGACGACACGACCAATATCATCATGAGTTTGGAGTTTATTTTCTTCATGCTGATGGTTATGGTTGAGACGACACGACCAATATCATCATGAATTTGGGGTTCATTTTCTTCACATTGATGATGGTTGAGACGACATGACCAACATCATTGTGAGTTCGGGGTATTTTTCTTCATGTTGATGGTTATGGTTGAGACGACATGACCAATATCATCATAAATTTGGGGTTCATTTTATTCATGTTGATATTTATGGTTGAGACGACACGACCAACAACATCATGAATTTGGGGTTCATTTTCTTCATGCTGATATTTATGGTTGAGACGACACGACCAATATCATCATGAATTTGGGGTTTATTTTCTTCATGTTGATATTTATGGTTGAGACGACATGAACGATATCATCATGAGTTTGGGGTTTATTTTCTTCATGCTGATTGTTAGGGTTGAGACGACACGACCAATATCATCATGAATTTGGGGTTTATTTTCTTCATATTGATATTTATGGTTGAGACGATACGACCAATATCATCATGAGTTTGGGGTTTATTTTCTTCATGCTGATGGTTATGGTTGAGACGACACGACCAACATCATCATGAATTTGGGGTTCATTTTCTTCACATTGATGATGGTTGAGACGACACGACCAATATCATCATGAGTTTGGGGTATTTTTCTTCATGTTGATGGTTATGGTTGAGACTACACGACCAACATCATCATGAATTTGGGGTTCATTTTCTTGTTGATATTTATGGTTGAGACGGCACGACCAATATCATCATGAATTTGGGGTTTATTTTCTTCATGTTGATATTTATGGTTGAGACGACACGACCAATATCATCATGAGTTTGAGGTTTATTTTCTTCATGCTTATGGTTATGGTTGATAAGACACGACCAATATCATCATGAGTTTGGGGTTCATTTTCTTCACATTGATGATGGTTGAGACGACACGACCAACATCTTCGTAAGTTCGAGGTATTTTTCTTCATGTTGATGGTTATGGTTGAGACAACACCACCAACATCATCATGAATTTGGGGTTCATTTTCTTCATGTTGATATTTATGGTTGAGACGGCACGACCAATATCGTCATGAATTTGGGGTATTTTCTTCAGGTTGATGGTTATGGTTGAGACAAAACGACCAACATCATCATGAGTTTGGGGTTTATTTTCTTCATGTTGATAATTATGGTTGAGACGACACAACCAATATCATCATGAGTTTGGGGTTTATTTTCTTCATGTTGATGGTTATGGTTGAGACGACACAACTGACCTCATCAGTAAATTTTGGGTTCCATCACTTCAAATCTAATATATTTTGTTTGGTTATCGAATCTTGGTTGAGACGACACAACCAACATCGTCATTCCAAGTTCCAAATATCTGGTTTCAAGATTGTTTCAATTATATATCCCCTAGGTTGCGATAGATATATGAATATTCAAGGTTATATTAATCACCCCCTAGGTTGCGATGGATAACGTAAGCCCACCCCTATTGTCTTTTATCCCCTAGGTTGTGATAAATGCACAGGTTCATCCTCGTGTTATTTACTCCCTAGGTTGTATTAAGCATAATGAAATTTGTGTAATCCATTGCATCAGTCTCCATGCAACAATGTATTATCAAACTTTGCTTTATTCGTCCCCTAGGTTGCGATGAATATACAAAATCTGCATCACAAACCTACTATATTAGTCTCCTAGCATTAGTAGGTCAACTTTTCAAAACTTATATCATTTACCTCCTAGGTTGCGGTAAATAAACAAAATCATACAACCTCCCAAATATCAACGAGTTATCCGCGTCATCGGGTCTTAATCAACTTTGGTCCAAACACTGGTAGGATGATACATCATCATCTATGCCTTTTTCTTCACACGAATAGGAACGTTGTACAGCGTATTCTTATACTAGCTCGAACAAATCTTGAGTTTTCCAATATTTAATAAACTTTCAATTAAACGTGCGAGACCTGCGTATTCTTGCACTATTCAATCGAAAGATAATTACATAAGGGAAGTTGTCATACTCCAAATTTGTCCGCCCTTTATTTCTACAATAAAAAAAAATATTTTAAACATGGTTTTTATAATATTATTTGATTTTTATTCGTTCTCAAGTCCAATTAAAAATATAATTTATTTTAAATTATTTATATTTTTAAATAACAAATACTTGATCATCTTCATGTACTTTCGATTGGCTTTTTATTTTGAATAAATAACATAGCACAATTGACAAAGAATGAAGCTTGTAAGTATAAGATCGTGGATTTCAATCTCACATTTGACATTCTAAACATTTTTTTTCCTATTTTACTAACTTTAAGTTTTCTTTTATTTCTTTATTAGAAAAAAATCACAAAAAGTCAAAATTATATATTTTTTAATTATTTAATATTAATTTTCATTTTTTATTTATTATTTTCGTTTTTTTAATTAATGAAATTTCAAAAAAATAGTTTTTTAAATATTTTTTTAGTTTTTATTCTAAAAATAACCGAAAAACTATCCTGAAACTATATTTTTTTTACATTTTTGTAGTTTCAGGATAGTTTTTATTTTTAGGAAGAAATCAATATAATTGATTAAAAAATTAAAATCAAATTAAATTTGGTTTTAAAATTAGTTAACTATTTAATTATTATCTTTTTTATTTAAACTAATATTTTATTATAAATAGAGGTCAATTCCAATCACAATATCCACAATATTCATAAAATTCTCACACATTTCATCCAAAAATATTCACAATTTTCACAGATCACGATCAATAATTTTTCTACCAACAATCACCCACAATTGCAATCTCTCATAATTCACTTACATCTTTTTCCAATATTTTTTTCTTCACGTATTTTCTTTCAAATTTATTTGATCGATGATTTTCATATGAGGCCCCTCGATATTATTTTCAATTTTATCCTTTGTAATTCAAACCAAATGATGATCACCCTGTTTGTTAAAATTTATTTTTATATTTTCTTGTTAATGCATTACTAACAATTTTTAGGAAACCTTTAATAAAATATTTTTTTAATGGTTCGTAATGGTATTCTACTAACCCACACAGTAGCTAAAATATTCTTTAATTTCTTACACACATAGAAACCCACTTGCCTCACCCTCACTTTTACATTATCGTACAGTTTACACATACACACAATATATGAAATTTTAGCACTGTTCTAACCCACACTAATTATATTCAAAATCTTTTACATAATTAGTGCATTAGAGTCAATCTTTTCATGTTACACAACATGCACAAACATAAATCCCATGCAATCTCAGATCAATCAAACACTGACATGAAAAATTAACAGCCACCATAATTCATATTAAAAATATTTAATTGAAAAGGGAGAAACAAAAAACACACATAGGACTGATTGTGTAGTTCCAACCATTGTTGTTGTTCTTTCTTTTATGCTTACATGTTTCAAAAGACAAGGAGAAGAACTGTGGATCTGGAGTGACAAAAATACCGACACAAAACGAAGCCAACCGCACTGTAATAGCGCATCACGCCGACGACGACCGTCGCCCATCCGCAGTCGCGTTTCCATCATTCTCTGACTCGCAATCACTATACAGAACGGAATCGTCCAAAATCGCTCTAATGAATCGCGACTCCGACGAAGCTGTTTCAGCCACCCTCCAGCTTCTTCGATCGATGCATCGTCCCAACAGCTCCGACCCAAGACTGCAATAACACCGCCGAACCCAACGCCGCCGTCGACGCCCCATCAACCGAAGCCATCGCCAGATCTGTTAATCGCACAAAAAAGGTTGTTGGATATCGCAACTACTGCACCAGAGTCGCCCGTCTCTGGCGAGATTTCACAAGTTTCGAAGGTATCTTTCTTCTTCTCCCGTTTAGGAATCGATTTCTATGCTTAAAATCGTGCAAAGTTTGTTCATGTTTTGGGGAGATTTGTTATGTTGTTGTTTGAAATAAAAGGGAATTATTTACTGGTAAGCTCCAAAGAACACAAAGCGAATGAGAGAGAAAGAGTTTTGCTACTGTAATATTTTGTTTCTATTTTATTTTACCATTAGCATAAGTTTCATTTTTATTTTTTAAGTTAATTAAAAAGCTCGCCACGTGTCCTATTTCTATTGGTTTTAGGGGATAACTTTGAAAAACAAAGTCAAATGACTTTACCAAATAAATACTCAGGAAAGAGTCGCTTCCCTCTTTATGCTATCTTCTATTTTTTTTGTTTTTCTTTTTATATTATTATTCAATTTAATTAGGTTATTAGGATTTTAGTAATTGGGTCATTGGGGCTATATGTTTCTACTCTTTTACTACTCAACACCTTATTTATACTAATATCCTCCCTGCATTTTTAAAATTGATTTTATATTTTATATCTTTTATTTTATTTGCTTTATCGTAATTAATATTATTAATATTTAATTCTACAATTATTTTCTTAATTTAAATTCTCTAATTCTATAACTTTTTTTAATACTTTAATTGGGTCAAAATATATCTTTTCTCGTGCGTTGAAAAATTATTTTTTTATATTGTATAATATATTAAAAAAATATCTAACTAATCAAATTAAATTAATTCAAACATTTTACAAGTGATAGGATATCTAACTTTGAATAATTAAGTCGGTCGACATATCGTCCATCGATTTATCATCTAAAATTAAATGATTGATTTAATATTTTACATCAAAATATTAAAACCCACGCAACTCTTAAATATTTCATCCGTGAGAGACACGTGACCAATATCTGACCACATGTCGAGGAGACTATATCAGACTTCCTCGCTCTACGTCTAAAAAATATTCAACCAAACACTAAATTTTTTTTCGCAAATTAAATTAATTCGAGCAACTAATTTTTGAAAAGGAATACGAATATATTTAAATTAACTGTGCATTTGGTCTAACAAACTCCGTTATTCACACTCTTAGACTACGTATGCGGGAAATTCAAGTATATTTCGCAATCCATAAAAAACGCAAACCAACCACGAACTACGAAATGAGGCTCTGATTCCTCATAAGAGAATACGTAGGCATACGATTAAAATCGCGGCGAGTCTCACTAACTAAAATTTAAACCCTTTTCCCCTATCAATAATTAAAACCCTACTTCTTAAAAAAAATACGCTTCTAAACCTAGTATCATTGTGAACAAGATAGATAAGGGGTACCTAACACCTTCCCCTCGTCTAGAACCGAGTCCAAATCTAGAATCTCTGAACCTTAGGGTTATTCCTTTATACTCCCTTTCTTTAGGATAAAAATTAAAGGTGATGACTTTGTATTTAAAACCAGTTGCAACATATATTATTTATCATTTTTTTTGAAATATTATTTTTTCCATTTAAATTATAGTTTTATGCATTTTATAGTAAAAAAATCTAAATAAAGAAAGTTTTAATTTTGATTTTTGATTTTTAGTATTTTTAATTAACTTTGTGAGCAAGCAAATTAATTTAAGAAACATCCAATCTAATTGAATAAAAATATTTGAAACCTGAAATTAATTTTGGGGCTTTAATTATTTTATTCAATTATTGGATTAAGTTAATTTATTTCCTATTTTAATTAACCTAATTTTCTAGTATAAATAGAGCTAATTTCTACACATTAAGAAGGAGACCCATTTCTATTCACTTTTCACATACATTTTCATGGGAAATAACTGAAGAGATAAAAATAGAACAGATCAAAGAAAATACTCTGCAAATTTCCAACTCACCCATGCACGGAACTAACGCAAACGACGCTTCACCATGACTGCCACACCCTCAAATCGCAGTCAACATGTTCATATGAGGGAGTAAATTATTTTTTTTTGTATTTTTTCAAGATGTGCTTGTTTTGTTTATTGATGATTTGAGCAAAAGTAGGATGCGTGGATGAAGAAGAAAGAGTATGGAGAAAAAGAGAAAAGAAGAATGGTTGCACATACAGAGAGAAAGAACGTGATTTTTTTCCTTTTTTTTCTCTTCGTTTGTTACTGACTATCATGTAGTATATTTTCTCTTTTCTTTTTTTTATTTATTTCATCGCCATGTGTCAAAAGGTGAATGGTTATAATTAACATTTAAAAGGAATGGTAATACTGCTAGTAGAAGAGAGGACACCCTTTTAGTCTCTCACATGCTAATTTTTTTTATTGTTTAACTAATTAATATGTTAGTAAAAGTTAGATTTTCTTAACATTGGGTTGGGCTTTGAGTTATACACTTTTACTAACCCTATAATTCTATCCATTTCTAATCACACCCCTTGTTTTACTTCATCAACTATAACTCACACCCCTTTTTGATTTGGGCCTAAATCCAATATCTGAATTTAGGGCCGTGTTAATTGCACCCCAACCTTTTACTTATAAATTGAAAATACACCCCCTGCGTAGTTAACTAAAATTATATTTTTTTACATTTTCTTTTATCTATTTATTTATTTTCTTATATTTTCATAATTAATATTTACTTTTATAATAAATTATAAATCTATTTATTTATTAATTCAAATCTTTATTTTTATTAATTCATTCAAATATTTCTTTAATTGCATTAAAATTATTTTTTCTCATGCATTATAAAACATTTTCTTCATATATTAATATATTTTAAAAAACATCTAACCAATCAAATATTAACCACTTTTTTTACTAACTTAATAAACTCAAGATTATTTTCAAAAAAGATTATGGGAATATCTTCAATCGATTGCGAACTTCGTCTATAAATTTCGCTATTCACACACCTAGACTTGGTTCGAAGAGAATTTGAGATATTTTCATAATCCATAATAGACACTAACCAAACAACTGCGAACTACGAATTGAGACTCTGATTCCTTATAAGAGGATACGTAGGCATACGACTTAAAATCGTGGCGAGTTTCTCTAATAAAAATTAAAACCCTATTTCCTAAAAATTGCAATTCTAAACCATAGTATCCTTATGAACAAGGTAGATGAGGAGTGTCTAACACCTTCCCTTCATCTAGAAACGAGTCAAACAACTTAGAATCTCTGACCAAATTAGTGTTATCCTTTATATTCCCTTCCTAAAATAAAAATTAATGGTGATGACTCTTATTTTGAAATCGGTTACAACAGTTGGAAACTCTGTTGGAGAGTCAACCCTAGGGTTTAAAAGCCTTTCCTCTTGATTTTAGGGTTTTTCTTATTTTTGGATTTTTATTTATGCTTATTATATTATTTGTCATCTTTATTCATCTATTGGCGGGATTTTATTATTTCAAAAAAAAACTTATTTTCAAAAATCCTTAGAAAGAAGGTTCGTCTATTGGAAAGGGGATACATGATCCCTATAAGTTTTTGTGAAGACTTCGCCTAGAGTCGCTGGAATTCCATAAAAGAAATATGTCTCAAGAGACATCCTCTTGGGAGGTAGGACTTTGGAATAAAACCTATGACTCTTTGTATAACCCTTAAACCAAAATCTCATGGTGAGACATTTCATAACCTAGAGACGAGAGTTTTGGTCTGCAAAGAGACTCCGCTTAAAGGAGGCCCTTGTGCCTTTCCCTCTAGTGTTATCCATGATATCCTTAAGGAAACCACCTTATGGGGAAGGTAAAATATACGTAGGCCAAAACTAGGAGCCTACCAACTAAGGATATCTTTCATGAAATCCCATCACTACGCCACACAATCATGCATTCATACATCTTGCATTTCACATATTCACTACCCTCCATTCTTTTTGCATGTCTTATTCATAGGATTAAAAAAATAATCAAAGGTTTTTGGTGAAGTGTCTTAAAAATGAATGTCAAGGGGAAACAACTTGTTTGTGTTAATGTCGTCAAGCCAGATACGACGAAGATCAAGGACATCAAAGGGAAACTGTCTGAAAGACCTTTGAAGATTTTCACTCGCCATTATGGGGATACCCTTAACTTGAAAAAAGTGGATATACAATTGGATGATATTTCTGCCTTGGTTCAGTTCTACGATCCTCCGTTGAGGTGTTTTACCTTTCAAGACTTTCAACTAGCGCCGAATTTGAAATAATTTGATAGGCTCTTAAACTTCTCTAAGGGAAATCATGTGGGAATTGGGCAGACTATTGACGTTAAGGACTTAGAAAATGGTTTAGGGATCCCTTATCCTGAATTTTCACTTAACTACAAAAAAGAAGGTGATGTACAAGGGATTAAGAGGTACTATTTAGAGGCTAAAGCCCTTTATTTTTCCGATAATAAAGAATGGGATTATTGTGTTGATTGTTTAGGGATACTTGTATTTGGTGTAATCTTGTTTCTGTGAACTTTTGACTATATTGATCCTGCAACTATTAGTGTATTTTAGGGCGCAAAAGCTTTGAATGTGGATCCAACTCCTACTTTACTTGTTGATACTTATTATGCACTTCACCATCGGTATGAAAAGGGGAGGGGTACTCTAAACTATTGTATATCACCCTTATATTCTTGGTTTATGACTCATCTCTATAAGGAATACTACTTGGTTCCAAATCTGACAAGATACGAGTGGCCTCAAAAATTAAGGTCCCTTACTGCTAATTCTGTGTTGCAGTATGCGAGGAAGTTGGACA